AGAAATGATGAACATGAGTGTAGGCCTCTAACGTGGGTTTTTTGCCTTGCTTCTTTTTTTCCCTTGGACTCTTGATGTTCTTTAAACTGGCTTAAGTAAAAGTCTAAGAAAACAGAAAAAAAAATCCTAACGACAGGCTTAGCTTTTTTATGACAAGAAGTCTGCTAATTAAATGTACCTATCAGGTATGCTCTGTAATCAGTAATGGACTCCCTCTTGTAAATTTCTAGAAGCCTTTTTTTCAGGTGTTGCTTTCACTGAAGTTCAGTGGTCTGCCATCTTAAATGCTTACAGGTATTTTGACATGTAAGCAGAAATTATTTTCTAGTCTAATAGCGCTTTCTAAATTATCAGTTATCAGTACATTAGTGATTGAATTGTATGCAATTCATCACATAGTAGCATAGCAATAAGATTGTTTCAACTGTAATATCTTAGAATTGAAAGCTTCTGTCAAGGAAATAAATAATTTGTGGAAACTCCCACTTTTAAGTGTCTACGTGTATTTTGGGAAACTCCCTTTGCAACTGTTTGCAGCACAGCTGTCTGCAGGAATAGGATTTTGGCAATCACAGAATCATAGAATATCTGAAGTTGGAAGGGACCCATAAGGATCATCAAGCCCAGCTCCCTGCTTCTCACAATGCTACTGAAAACTAAGCCATATGACTGAAAAAGCATCATTTAGATACAGACTTGGTGCTGTGACTATTTCCTTACTTCCCTGGGGAGTCTGTTCAGTGACTGGCCACTCTTCTTACGGTGAAGAACCTCTTGCCAATGTCCAATCTGAACTTCCCTGTTAGTACTAATGCTCAGTTATGTGATTTTTAAACTATGGTTTAGCTTCAATTATTCTACAAGCATTGATGAAAGATAACAGTTAATAATAGCTACATTTACAGGCTTTTGCTTTTTTACAATGACCTTGTATATAGGTAACAAAATTAACAAAGAACCTGTCCATCTGGTTTGAATAGTAAATGAAAATGGAGGTCTTGCCTTGGTAATATGTCTGTGAATTTATTGTGAGGAAACATAAGGAGCAAAAATGTTTAAGAACTTGCCTTCTATTTTAAGTTTTACTGATATCAGCTGTTACTGGTATGGTCTGACTGGCATAGACTTGACACCCAGTTAACTCGCTGGGTGAATGCTTCTCTACAGATTTGAAGGGCCTTTTGCTTCAGTAGAAATCCTCTAAACTTGAAAAGCTACTCCTAATAAAATTGCCAACATATAAAGTTATGCTAGGATAGCAGTACTGATTTTATTTCAATTTTTATTTACATCAGTATGAAGTCGTAGGTTATTTTTCAAGACTAGCTTATGTAAGAGAATCTGTTTAATGATACTGTTCTTCTGTTGAGAGTTAGCAAAAGGTTCTTCTCTTCCAGCTGCACGGCCTGATTTGTTATTTACAAAATGTGTGTATACTGCAAATACTTTGTGGCTGTACTCGGGTCTTCAGATGTTTGAGCAATATATGACACTAACCATATAGCTAAAAAAGTCAGTTTATCGTCCTCTAGGACTTGTACCTCGTGTTTTGGTGAAACAACCAAGAAAAGTTACAGCTGATGTGCTCTTTCTCTGAAGTTTGACTTATTTTGTGAAGACCAGTGCTGGCTGGCTTTTTTTAAGTTCTGAGCAAACAATATATCCATAGATGTTCAGAGCAGTGGGATATAAATAGAAACTTTGAAGCTCTTTGACCTGAAATGCTTCTCAGTTTTAGATTGAATATATGTTACCAAGGCGCCAGCTAATTTTTTTAATATATAAGTAAATACATTATTAAGTCTTCTTCAGCTCTTTCTGAGGAAGCTGAAAGAAGAAATGATTATTGAAGTTGAAAGAATAGGAATTTCTTTGGCATTGAAAGAGGATTTTTGGAAGTTTCAGGCCTCATTTCTCTTTTGTTGCTGATTTTTTTTTTTTTTTTTTAAATTTTAAATATTCTGCAGGTCACCCAGCAGAGCTGATTCTGGTGTATGGTTACATTTTCACAGGACTGGCTTACCTAGCAGATGAAGGATTCAGGTGAGTAATTTACACTTGCTCTGTTACAATCTGCTGTTGTGGAGTATACAATGGACAGACATATCCTCTCTCAGCATAGTGGATGTGCTTCCACTGTGGTCTAGAAACATGGGACTAAGCTAGTTTAGTAGAGTTAATAAAATAATAAACCTCAAAATCTACTCCTGATTCAAGCTCATTAAAGCCAGTAAAAATTAAACAGAATGTGTCTTATTTAATGTCTCACTATACTGTAGGCTTTTATGGAAATATATAATGTATTAACTCCTATGTTATTCTGAGTGGAACTTGACTGCTCAGCTGACTGCTTGCTGTAGCTGAAGGGAAGTTTTTTTACTTTAACTTTTTTTTTTCTTCTTTTTCTGCTTAGTTAATTTTTCTGTCTGGCCAGTTGCTGTGCTCTTCTTGCACTGCTTTTATTTACAGTCCATTCTTGTGGTTTCCTGTAAATTGGTCTGCAAGAGGAAGCTCTCTTGCTGCTGAGACAACTCAACTCCTCAGCTAAACTAGAGAATTTATGCTTGCAAGGACAGTGTAGTGCTAGATGTATAGCTCATTGCTCTTCCTTTCCATTAGCTAAAGATAAATAGGACTGGTTTTGTCTGAGAGCAAGAGCTGGTCCTAACAGTGGTGGAGGTAATAGGCCAACTTCTTCAGACAGTGGCCCTGCTGGCGTTAAATCCAAATGTTGGTTTCTGATGTTTTTTTTCTTTTTATTAAGGCTGAGTAAAATCTCATGTTAAAGAAATGAAGTAATTTCTTTTGAGTGAAATTCTCCATAAGCTAGCTTGGTGCAAGGCTTCTTCTCACCACTGATTTTGTGGGACAAATGAAGGTTAGTGGTTTGAAAATCATATACTAGAGTTCTTTGCAAGACTTAATTTTGTGAAGAATGATTAATATTCTTTCACTTCCTTGACAGTCACACTAATCAAATCCATGAGGGTTTCATGTCTATTCAGCTTCTTTATTTCCAATTTTTAAACACAACCATTCTGATTAATGTTCAATTTAGAAAGTTAAGCTAAATTTTCATTCGTCCAAAACTGTGAGGCATCTAGATTTTTGTTGCTGTTGTTTCTCAATGGAACACCAGCTTGTGTGTGTGCATTTTTGCGATGGCTTCTGTTCTGGCTCTTTGACCATCTTTACAGTGTTGGAAATCACCAGAAAACTCAAAAGGGGATCTTGGAACTTAAAATGAAAAATACTGTATTTCTGAGTACCTAAGTGAAGATTGGGAGACGACAGTATCAGAAAAGTTAGAGTGGAAAAGTAGTGCTTCAGGAACGTGTGTTGGATAAACAAGATGTAATTAAAATGTGACTGTTGAGGCCAAAGGGCATGATACTGTAGTTGTGGAGTTTAGAAGGGAAAACCAAGATTTTGGTAGTTTCAAAGCAGAAAAGAGGAACTGATTTTAACTTTTTTTCCAGTGTTACATATACTGAAATTATGTCATTCTGATCACAGCTTTTTTTTGCTGAGGTAGAGATAAAGGTTGCAGGGATGGTAAGACAGACTTAGAAGAGTATGTTTAGATAAAAGAGAACTGGGGGAGGAAAGATTGCTTAAAGCATTGCATCTTAATGCTTAAAGTCTAAATTGGTAGCTGATATTGTAGCAGATAAGTGAATTTAATTCACAAACTGCTGAGATGTAGTCCTTTTTACATCTTACCTGTAATCTATTAATTAAACCATTGAGACAACTGGGTATTGATTCCTATTCCATTCTTATTAAATAGGGATTTTGTGTTGCTATGCTGATTCTTTTAGCAACAACAGGTGGGTGATGTATGGTTTGCTTCCATTTCATATATAGCCTGGCTATGGAAGGACTGCAAATGGGTGCCCTGTAGTGAAGACTGAGAATTGCATTCCTAGCTGATACAGCCATAGCCAATATCTGAAATGGTTTTCTTCTGTGCCTGGACTGTCAGGTAGTTTACAAAAATAAAAGATGCTATGTAGAAACTTCTTCCTTCTGTTTTGGAGTACAGATTCATGTCCATTTCCCCAAAAATGTGTGAAGTAAGCTTTACTTGCCGTATTCATATGTGTAGGTTTTGTCCATCATTCTGAAACTTGCTAGGTGTTTTTTTTGTCTTACTTGAACTTTTTAGCCTGGGGTGTTGCTTAATTCCTGACAGTCAGTGAAACACTTGAATCCTTTTAAGAGCTTTGTATGAAAGTAAGTGTAAACCCGTGGCATTTATTCATCATCAGTTGGTGATACTTGTCCTGTAGAATTTTTGCCCTTGCTTTGTGAACCTCTTGGATTGAATTTTTTTTTGTGTGTTTTGTGGTTAGCACAGCATCAAACCTACAGGCAAGATTTCATCTAGAGCATGTATATGCTGTATAGTCTTTCAAAATGGCTATTTTTAATTTCTTGGGTTGAAGAGGAAAGGACAAGCTCCAGCTACAGGACAGAAAAAAAAAATAATAAAAAAAATTAAATACTTATCATAGTTCTGTGGTTGCAGGGCCAGTACCTGAAGCACAGGCTCTTCAGAAGCACAGGCAGCATTTCTGAGCTGTGTCTCTGCTACTGAGAGAGCTTGAGTATGCTGTAAGAAAAGGAATACCTTCTTCCCAAGGGAAAGGAGTTGATTGAAAGATGAGTCGGAAGCTAGAGAGCACTGGAAAATCCCTTTTGCTTTCTGACTTGTCATCTGGCAGAGGTTTGAGGTATGCAGGGTTTCATTTATAACCTCCCTGGGAAGTCAGGAAATCTGACAAAGCTAGTGCTGCCCACTAACACTGGGGGAAACAAAGTAGAAGAGGAAACAAGTCATAGCTTAGGCGTCACTTTTGGCCACAGCGTGGTGCAGATGCACAAGCAGTTGGGGCAGGGTTTCTTTTCCTTTTGTGTGTGGAGTGCACAGCAGCTATTGCAGGCACTTTCAGCCTTACAAGACACAAAACTGGGAGAAGTGCAGAGATGTTCTTGCCATGCCTGAGAGGGGCCATACATTATTGATGGCTTTGTCATCACAAAGGAAAAAATCCCTCTGTGAAACTGCCAGCAGAAAAGCTATGTGTCGATCAGGCGTGGTGACCAGGTTGGTGCATGTTTGTGGCTTGTATTTCTGTCATCTTTTCTCTTTTAGATAGAGAGCAGACTAAAACTAAGAGTAGAATTTTTGTATCTGAGGTAAAATACTTTTAACTCATGCAGGAAATTCAAGGGTAAAGAATTGAAGGGGGAAGAGATGAGATGAGTGTTGTTTGAAAATGTTTGTCAGAAAAGCAAAGCAAGTTGAAGCAAGTTAAACTGAAAACTTAAAACAATGTTTTTCCATCGGGCTTAGTTCCCTGTTCCCTTTGTCCTGTAAGATTTATTTGACCTTACAGTGTTTGTACTGTGCTGTTAATCCTTTTGAGAGACTATTGTGAAAGGGGCTGTTAGAAGTACTAAGAAATGGAATGTGTAACCAAAAAGTAGGAGAGATACGGAAGAGTATTTCAGAAATACTGGAGAACGTTTAATAAACGGAAAAGAAACCTGAAAATTTTTCAGAAAGCAGCTTTAACAACAGATGGTAGATGTTTAGATGTTTGGAGAACTAGCCTTTTTTCAAAATTGCTGAGAATACATCGGGGAAGCTTCTATTTTACAGTTTTGCTGTATGTAATGCTGCCCTATTTTTGCTCAAGCCTTTTGTAAAGACTGAAACTTCAGTCTCCCTCTGGATTATATGAAGAATGCAGTCATTTCTGTAAGTTACATGTTACAAATGTAATGTTATATGTGAGTTATATCTTCAGAAGGAAACTAGCATCTTACTTTGCTACATTATGCTTTCAAAATAGAATGTAAAGACTAGATGTTATGACATGTTACAGAGTTTAAAAAATGCTCAGATAAATTAGCATAGAGATACTTGCTACAAATTCAGATCAGATTTAATTTTTGTACTGCAACTTTGGAGGCTGTTTTTTATTTGTTCTCAGCATGACCATACTGGGCTCTAGAACAGACCATAAATATTATTCTATCAAGTGACAATTTCTGATACAACTTTTGGCAGCGGTAGTGTCAGAGAATGGGAGTAATGTGCACCCATATACTGCAAGATGTGGAGATGATCACATCTGCCATATGTTCTGCTGAAGTTAAGCAAGAACTGAGGATTCAGGGCTCTTCCAGGATGCAATCCTTAGTTGAATCAGCTTGTAGTTGCTTTAATTGGGTGAATGTCAATAGCTTTTAAGGCCAAAAGGGGTATGTGTTCTTCTGTAATGTAATCCAGATTTTTAATGTGGCAGAATTTTATTTTTATTCATGGAGTAAAACCATATTGTAGATTCTAAGACTAGAAAAAAATCTCTCAGAGCATCCATTTTTCCTTCTTCTCACCCGTACAATAAAGATCCTGCAGTTACATTGTTTTGACAGCTTTCTCCCAGCAGCTTGATGCAAGACAGCATCTAATGTCATTCCAGGATTGCTTTGTACTCTCAAGAAGAAAATCTGCTTGGGACTAGATTCAGAGTACTTAAATGGATTCTAGAAGTCTAACTCAAACATCTAAATTCAGAATACCAAAGTCCTCTCTATGCATCTGCAATCTGTCTGCAAGTGAAAGTACTCCAGAAGCCTACAGATGTGATGGGGAGTGCTATAAGCCACAGTGAGACCCAGAAAATAGGCCTATCAGGCTTTAAATCTGTTGAAAAGCCCGGTACATTAGCTGGGCTCTTTAGCTCATATAATGTGTACTTGGCTGTGTGGTGTTCAACCATGTCTGCTTTTATTCACTCAGCTGGGATGGGAAAGTTCTGAGGTTTGGTTTCTACTCTCAGGACTGCTTTATAGCAAGTAGTCAGAAGTAAAAAAATATTGTGAATAGAGGAAGCAGAATCTGATGCTCTGCTGTCCTTCCCCCTCAGTTGAATCCTGTAGTCATCACACACTGTAGAACTGGATTTCCCCCCCTCCCCTGCTTGTTCCTCTGCTTCCATGATTTTTTGATTTGTTTTTTTTCTGTCTGCCTGATGCTCAGGCTTTTCAGGTAGAGGAGAAACTGCCCCATCCAGGCACACTTTCGTGAGTAATCTAACTGGTCTACTCCCATGCAGAAGGCCAACATGGCCTAGACAAATATTTGTTTTTTGTATGCTAGGCTGGGATACCCTTGTTCCAGGTGTTTGTCATTGGCATCCTAGAAATCTCAGCTTACTAGTTGTTTTGAATAACCTCTCTCAGATATTTAACTCTGCCTCTTCTGATGTGTTTTCAGCCTAAGTACCTAACACTGAAACAGTTCTATGCTACAGGCTTGTTGCTTGAGTCTTTTTGTGTTCTGTGTTTTGTAGTAAAAGCACGTAAGATTTGAAGACCCATGATAAACTTGAAGCTATTGGGTGGCATTGAGACTAATGTTAGATCAAAAAAGGGAGATCAGAGTATATTTGTTTGAATAAAAAGATTCTATTTTTACTTTATCATTTTTTCTGAATGTAACTAGAAGCAGACTAAAAACTAACTTGTGATTAAGTTATTTCAGTGTTAGAACCTTGATGTGCCCGTTCTTAAAAGAGGAATTTAGCCCAAGACTTGCTTTTGCATTTGTCATTTCAAGGAAATCACTCTTAGCAATACTGCAGGTGGTTTGGTGTCAGCAGCCAGCTGGTTAACTCTCATCATTTTCCTCACTTTGAGTTTTTTCTGCATGATGTGAAGAAATAATTTGAAGGGTTCTTTCTTTTTTTTTTTTTCTGCGGGGGAGATGGGGCATGTAACTTGTTACTATTTTAATTTTTAAAAGCTTAAAATATCTCTGCGTAGGCATTTATTGGACCTGTGAACACATTGCTGTTGCTAGAAATTTCATTGTAGGGAAGAGAATCATAGAATCATTAAGGTTGGAAGGGACTGTAAAGATCAAGTTCCAACCCCCCTGCCATGAGCGGGAACCCCTGCCACTAGATCAGGTTGCACAAAACCTCGTCCAACCTGGCCTTAAAAACCTCCAGGGATGGGGCATCAATAACCTCCCTGGGCAACCCATTCCAGTTCCTCACCACCCTTATAGGGAAGAATTTCTTCCTAATATTTATCCTAAATCGCCCCTCTTCAGTTTAAAACCATTACCCCTTGTCCTGTCACTATCTTCTCTGATGAAAAGCCCCTCCCCAGCTTTCCTGTAGGACCCTTTCAGGTACTGGAAGGTGCTATAAGGTCTCCCTGGAGCCTTCTCATCTCCAGGCTGAACATCTTGGTCGCCCTTCTCTGGACCCTCTCTAACAGGTCTATATCTTTCCTGTGCTGAGGGCTCCAGAACTGTACACAATATTCCAGGTGGAGTCTGACCACATCAGAGTAGAAGGGCAGAACCACCTCCCTGGCCCTGCTGGCCACTCTTCTTTTGATGCAGCCCAGGATGCAGTTGCTCTCTGGGCCCCAGTGCTCACTGGAGAAGGAAGGAACAGCTCAGTTTGCAAAGATCTCAATCAAAAAGAACAGGGAGGAAATGGCAGAGGAAAGGATATAGCTGAGTACAACAAAAGGAACTTACCTTTTGGTGCACAGGAATGTCCTGAATGAAAACTGGGAAGTGCCTGCTGTGAAAACCTTTCTAGGGCCTCGGATCTTATATCCTTTGCTTGTGCCTGATGCATAACACTGGGAACTAAAAATGAATATTTGTGATTAAGTTTTTGAGGCTACCTAGACAATTTAACTGATCTTAAACTCTCTTCACAGAAATTGTTAGTGATTTCCACCCCTCCTGACGTGCATCAGCAGCAAAGGGCAAGCAGTTAGATGTAAAACCTAAGCTAATCCACTGAAAGATTAATTGACTTGAATTTCTGCTTTCCTAACATATACAATGGATGTGTACTCTACTGTTTGCAATTAATCCCTCAACAAAACTGTATTGCTTGCTGGTTTTCAGTGTGGGTACTTCAAGTTGCCACTTAGTCTGGGGAGACCAGTGCTTGGGTAGGTATGTTGTGCTGTAGGCTCTTGGATTTCTCTGCTGAGCTGCACTATTGACTTCCACTACTGTCCTTTCTGAGAGAAGGAGAAGGAAACAGGATCCATTAGATTTCAGTCTTATACTAAAAACATTACAGTTTGAAACAGTCATTCCTTTATCAGAAACTAATTAACTGGAACTTCATTAGTTTGCCTCTTACCAGCAAAGGTCTCTAGCCCTACACCTGTGGACAACAGACCATTCTAGGTCAAACTTCCTGTGCAGTTCATGCATGACACTTTTCCCCTATTACGCAGTAGGATTTTTAGCCTAGTTCTGTTACCACTTGAAGAGAGAAGGGTCTCATAGTGATGCATGAGACAGAAGAAACTACTACTAAAAACTAATTTTATTGGTAACTTGTTTAAGGTGATAGCAGGAAGAGTGATAATTGCAAAGGTGGTTGCTGGACCATGGCATTAATAATTAATATATAAATGTAACGACAGTCTGCAGCACACATGATATCCAGTCTGAAATTATATATTCATGCTTTCATTCAGAATAAAACATGTAAATATAAGGGTTAAATAGTATTGGATACTGCAGTTACTAAAATATAACTCTTGGTTTCCTCATTATACAGACAATTATGTTGTATATACATGTGTGGCATAGAACCTGGGGGAAGAAACTGATTTTCTTTATAGTTACCTTCCTGGTTAAATCTCATGGTGTTATCTGAGACATTTAAAAAATATTAATACTTGGATAATATTTACTAAGCGCTCTTCCACTGTTTCAACAGCTGTCAAATCATTTTTGAGAGCAGTATAAAAATAAATTGGGACTTTCTGCACCATGTTTTTTTGTACATTACAAACTTCCTGGAATAAATGACCACCCGTCTGTGCTACATACTTGACTACTGAACTGTGTTAGTTTTTTGGAAAACTTGTTTAAGGGAACGAGCTTTGTTGCTCAGTACTCACTTCCTAAACTAAGTTTTAAACTGTTTTTAATTATTCTAAATTGCAGAAAGATGGCCTCACAGGAGCAGGTCTGGCCAGTCCCAATGAAGGCAATTGGAGCACAAAACCTTTTGACAATGCCTGGAGGAGTGACAAAGTCAGGGTATCTTCATAAAAAAGGAGGCACTCAGCTGCAGATCTTGAAGTGTAAGTTGGATGAGTAATTAACTAAATTAAATGTTTTAAATGCTTGCCTTTGGGGCCATTAACACATTTCATGTTAGCAGACTGTTTAATGAAGCTTTGTCTGTAAAAGATCACAATTTTACTGGAATATGTGTATGAAAGACCCATATTTAAAGAATTTCCTCTAATTATTTTGGAACTGTAAATCTTAGATGATAAATGTTGTGCCTGATTTACTTTAAATCCCTTGTCTGGTCCTTCACAAGTAAGATTTTAAAGGCAAGCAGATTCTTGGGTTATGTATCAATTTCAAATGTTCTTTTCTAAAACAAATTGAGTACTCGGCTTTTTTCCCAGTTTGTTATAAAATAGCCCCATCTCCTCCTGCTCTTGTGAAATGGAGATTTTTCTCTACTGCCAACATTAGCTTGTACATAAAAGAATTGCTTCTGGAATCAGAATCTGTTTATGTAGAGAAAATTTAAGATTTTAGGCTTATTTTATGCTATTCATTTGCTATCCCTATTCATAACTAAGCTATACTTAAATAGTTAAGAACAAAGATTACTGCCTTTGATACAGGAAGGAATGTTGGCCCCTTTAACAAAATATCCTTTTATAGGCAGCTTTATGTACTTGAGGTGAAAGAAGAGAGGGAGATATTGTCATGGTTTGGGGATGGACATAAATATGTATTTGTAGTCTGTGGTTACCCTTCTGTTTCGTTTTTGGTTGCTTGCTCAAGTTACCTTATTCTTCTAGTAAAGGAGCAGTAGTTGGAGGTTGGACCTGCAGTGTCTTGAGCTTTCTAAATTTTTTTTCTTTTTTAAATTACCAGATCAGCTGCCCCTCAAATGAGGGAAGCAAATACTACCCTTAGTCCTGAGACTCTGAATGGAGAGCTTTACCATGTAGCTGGTGATAACAAACTGTCATTTAACTAGTTTGTGCTCTTTTAGAATGATTAATAAGATTACTAAAATCTTAATTATACTCAAGTTAAGAAGTTCTAGGTAATGCACTGCCTTTGGATTTGTATTTTGCTCACTTTTTTTCTTTATCTTTTCAGGGCCATTGAGATTTGTAATTATCCATGAGGGGTGTATTTACTATTTTAAGACCAGCACATCTGCATCTCCACAGGGTGCATTTTCTTTGAATGGTTACAACAGGTGAGTTCCAAAGAACTTCTTGAACACCCAGGTCTTTTTATTTAATGCAGGGGACTATGATTTTAATTTCCAACTAAGTTAAACTCAACTACATCAGTTGTTTGGGTTATCCACTGGTCTCGGATTCCAAGAGATGTATTCCTTTCAAATTGTATATATGATGTTTCCTGTGCTTTGCAAGGTGTAGCCATCATATTTTGTAATTTAGCCAGTAAAGCTGTTTAAATTGCTATGGGCTTACTCTTGTTACTGATTTAATGCAGGCTTTGAACATGCAGATACATATGAAATCTTTCAGACAAATCATCTTTGTTCTTTAATGATGTTGATAATCATCACAAAAATAGAAAGGAATATTTATGGAGTTACTGATTCAGTAACAATAGTGTCAAAACTGAATCAACTACAGGAGTGATGAGAGAGTGCATGTGCAAAATGTCTGACTTGTTTCACTACATGTTACAAATCATAATATTTGCTTCTTAAGTTGGAAGCAGAAATATGTGGATTTCAAGGTAACCAGTACGATCATATTCTGAGTACAGCAATGTACGGAGCCTAAGAGAAGTCACACAACTTCAGGAAATTGCTGTTGCAATTGATGCTAAGAAAGGACTAATGAGAGAGAGGATGCAGAGGAGCATCACATTACTGGTCCCAGTCACTTTAGTTTTATTGTATTTGTAAACAAGTGTGTAATTCTTGTGCTGCATAATGTTGTCAGACTTTTAGAATAAGGAAATGGCTTTTATTAGAATGTGAGAGCTTTCTAACTCGCCACTACAATGGCATATTTTATGGTAATGCAATTGTAAACATTGTGGCTAATTAAAAATTCAAGATTAATTTGTATAGGAAACCTATACTGTAACTTGGTGATTACACTAGTTTCTATAATCACATTAGTATTAAAATACCATGGAATTTGTAAATAGTAGGGGACTGTCTCTCTGCTTTTACATGCCTACATGGTAGCAGCCCCATAGAGACCTTGGTTGGAGCTGGGACCAGGTGTTGGTTAGTATTACAGACATAAGCATTCTTGAAAAATAATTTGAAATGGAGGAATTTGTTAGACTGGGTAGTTGCATAAAGTTGTATGAAAGTAAGTTGTTCTGAGGCTTTCCTGGACTTGGATTTTACAGTTTTCATGCAATAGCATTTGTGTTAAGAGTGAACTGGAGATGAGAAAGTGCTGAGTTTGCTAGTGACTCAAAACATATAGTAATGGCTATAGCTGGTGTCCCTCCCAGCTGTACCATGGGTGTTTCCCACATTAACATCCTTATTACCCTTACACTAGTGGAATAATTTACAGTTCCTTTTGTGGCTTCATTTTGGGCTGGGTAGATGCAGAAAACTGCAACCTCCAGCTTAAAAGTAGGATTCTGATTCTAAAAAAGATGCAGTCTCTAATTCTGAAGTAATTTTGCAGTTGACACAGTTTTTCATGGCAGCTTCAAGGTGTTGATTAGATGTTTTTCAAAACAACGTTATCTTGATTAGGTACCTAATCAACAGTCAGATGTCTATGAGAATCTTTTTTCTGTATTTACAAACCACCTTCCCTAAATATTAAGGACATATGAAAGCTCTGTATTATTTGAGGAAATTGGTGAGTTTTAAAAATTTAAGAACAAGAAAAAAAGCCATAATAGTGATTGTAAAAGCTTTAATCATTTTTTATGGCTTATGCTGAATAAATCTTAGAAATATTAGTTTTAGATTACCCATAGTCTTCAGTCCACAGATTTCAGTCTTCTTATTTGTTCCAAAGCCTGATAGTGAGCATTTACAATCAAACTTTTGCTTGTGCAAGGAGTTTTCTCATTTGACACTCCTCTGGGGAAAAAAGAAAAAGAAACAAACTTCTCTAATGCAATTTGTGAAAGAGGTTGAGTTATGCTTAGTTTAATATAATATAAAAAGCACAAGAAAATTGTTTATAAGGGAAAAGTAGACAAATTAAGATAACTTTTAATATTAGTCCTCTCTTCTTTCCATGGAAAATCTGTGTTTTGATTTCCCTTCTGTGCTATTCTGAGATAAGGATCACAGGCACCTTAAATACCTCTTAGCATGATGTGAGGCTTGTGAATTCATGCAATTCATTAGAACTATTGAACAGATCCATTTTTAAGTCTAGCTAGTGGTTTAACTCCTGCTCTTTCTCCTGTCAGCCGTCTTGCATTGTCCTTTCTACCACTTTCATGGAGAAGTATTACAAATGCACATACAGGGATTTTTCTGGCCTTTTCCTGGGCTAGGGGGTTATTTTTCCCAGGCAAAACTGGCTGGTAAAGTTGCTTTCTGACAGAGCTTTGGCTTGAACAGAATAATCAACTTTATAGATTAAGGTTTTATGTGTTGGTTGTTTTGTTTGTCAGGGTTATGCGGGCAGCTGAGGAGACAACATCAAGCAATGTGTTTCCTTTCAAGTTAGTTCACATTAGCAAGAAGCACAGGACATGGTTTTTTTCAGCTTCTTCTGAAGATGAAAGAAAGGTAACTTTCTTCTTTTGCAATATAACTTTTCTTGAAGCAGAAAGCAAATCTTGGACTTCCCTAAAATCTAAATGAACTGGATGTGCAGCTGTCACTGAAATTTGTATACTTACTTCTTTGGGCTCCTCTGAAAATCATGCCTGAAGTTTTAACTAATAAGTTAGTGCTAGTTGAAGTTGTAATTTAGGGAATGGCTATGAGTGCCATACTAGATGGTCTGGTTTTCTCCATATTTCTCATTTGATTTTAGCCAAGGAACAAATATTTGTATGTTAAACCATTGATAAGGTATGAAAACTTCAATGAAACCTCTCGCTCACAAGCATACTTGGAACCTGTATCTGGCTTTTGAAATAACAACTTGAAATTCACAAACTGGAAGTTAATATTTTAATATGTTCTTACAGCATTTTAGATAGAACATTTGACTGATAAATCTTCTGTAGAAAGTAATGGATAAATACTATTTCAGTGTAGGTTCCTTGCACAGTTACTCTGTTCCTACAGAGGAGAGATCTTGTGCATCTTTGTTTAAAGATGTAAAGATAGATGTGTTAAATGTTCTATTTTCATTCTTTATTAGAATTGGATGCTATCCTTGAGGAGGGAAATTGATCACTACCATGAGAAGAAGGAAACTATAACAGAATTCAGGTATAAACCCTTAATCTTTATTTGCTTTTTTTATCCTTTTTGCACTCTTGCTCTTGACAGTGGTGTTTTAGGCTCTTCGCACCTGCAGGTGATTTTCTGTTAAATAAAAACAGATGCAGTAAGACTCAAGAATGAAAGGCCTTCCTAATGTATAGTTTAAAGGATACATGACAAAAATTAGTATTACTACTAAGAGAACTTTGAATGTTAACTTTGTGTGAAAAACAACAACAACCACCCTTAAAGACAACAGCAACATATCTGGCTGTTAATTAGGAAGTAGGACTAGATTGCTTCTGCTGTTCTGGCATCCCTTTCCTGCTAACAGACATGTTTACTGTCCCAAGATCCATAGCACAGTGATGCAGAAGATACTTGTGTTTTCTTTTGCAGTGACTCTGGTTCTGATGCAGACAGTTTCTATGGCTCAGTAGAACGTCCCATTGATATAAAGTATTCTCATCATTCAGCAGATAATGAAGGTGACAAATTTAGACACTGATAAATAAGATTTATTTGCTTATGTATTTCTTCTGGATTCTGCAGAAACTATTCTCATAGCTTAAGCAAATGGATCAAATTTGCAGCTATAAATTCTTTTATTTACAATGTGTGTAGTTGTTATAGTTTTAAATCAGGAATAGATATTCTGTGCCATAATCCATCAGTAAAAATAAATAGAACTAAAGAAATTCAGATCTTTCAAGGAGGTGTATTTTAAATTTTTATTAGGACTGCATATTGGAGAGTCTGTACATCTAGCAAGAAGATAGAACTTTTGAGTATGCCCTTAGGTCATAGTGTAGAAATACAAAGTGATTTTTATTATGATAATTTAATATTATTGTCAGTAATTGAATATAATTTTAATAATAGGATATTAGTCACTTAAATGTATGTTCTGTAAACATGCGGAGATGATGCAAGAAAACATGGTGGAGCTAATTACCTCCTAGCTAGACTGTGAAATTAAATCATCTGTCCTTCAACACAGGCAGTCACCTACACTGAGATGCTGTTCCATGTGTTGTAGTCTGTTTAGTATGAAATGGAATTGATCATCCTTCAGTTCAGAAAGATCTTATAATAACTATATGAAATGCATAGGATAACACTCTTCAATTACTTTCAAACTGAGTAGCATTTTGAAAGTAAGGCTCTGAAAATGTCATTCTTGGCATAGCCTTTTTTATTCAAAGTTTGTCGGTTAGTTGCTGTAGTTGTTTCACAATAAACAGTTCAGGCTGTGCTTATATTTGATTAGAAGTGAGGACGTCGTAGAAAGAATGTCAGGTGTTCACAGCCTAGTTCAGCAACTGGATTCCTAGTCGAGAAATGTGTTAATAAAATCAACATGAAAGCTTCACCTCAAGGTTCAACACAGTTCCTTCACTAGGCTGTTTCCCATCTGCACTTTTGAGATTTCTAAAGGGCAGGGTTGACTGGAGCAAGTACTCTCCTTTCCTAACAGGAAGTTCCTGACTATTTTTCCAGATTCGGACAAAAAAGGCAGGAGTGAGTCTTTTTAGGAAATCCGGTTCAGTTGTTGCAAACCAGAGGAAAACAGACTCATCAGCATTTCATGTAGGACTGTAGTTTAATACTTCTGTGTTTGTGGGAGGCAAAGGTTATATGCAATACAAAGAAGGCCTAGAAGGAGTTTAAATTAGGAAAAGTAGAAGAGCCAACTGATTTTTATCTGATTTTGTTTTTTTTCATGCATTTCTCTGGTGAAATACTGTGTATTGCCCTTGAAGCTTCTGTCATAGTCAATGATGAGAAATTACTGCCTAGAAGTAACATCTTTTCCATGTCTTGATTCTTTTGACTTACAGGTGAAGGCAACATTGAAACCATCTAAGCCATTTGTTGTGGTGTGGGTTTTTTTTTTTTGTTGCCAGAGAAACTGCAAAACAATTGCAAGAGAAGTTGCAAAAGAATTTGGTTTTGTGGATCACTGGGCTTGCTCAGAGTTCCATGTTACAAAACCATGAGTGTGTTGTGTTAGGGCTGGGTTTGGGGGAATTTTTTTTTTCTTGAAATCATTTTACTAATGTATCCATGTCTCTGCAACTGATGTGAATTTTTCTCAGGAAGACTATAGCACTAGAAAGTGTCACCAGAAAATAAATTCTAACTGGAAAGATTAAATGTGCTGTGTAGCTGATCTCCTGCTTGCATGTGGCCTTCTTAACTGACATGAAAATGTAAGGGAAAGCCTATTCTGAATAGTAGAGAAGTGCACCAACATTTTATTTGTCTTTTACATCTTAAAAAACCAAAACAAAACAGAAAAATATTTTTTTATTAAAAGGCAATAAGTACTCAATACTTTTTCTTGGTTCCTGGAGTATTTATCAGAGTCTGATACATTGATTTTTTTATCTGCAGATTATGACCAGGAGGAAGAGGAGGAGTCTTACTTGCAGCCAGATACTCCTGACATAATGAAAGATGGTATGTGATTCTTTCAATCCCTTCACAAAAGGAAGGCCCCATGAAAGGCCACCAGTGAAGGCAATATAAATGTAGAATGCCAGATCACTGTTTTGGCTTGGTTGTATCTTAAGAATTGCATGTATGATGCAATAAATGAAGTAATGCACAAATATTTAATCTTTAGAGGTGTTCAGGGTCAAAAGTTCCAATTAACTGCCAGGACAATTTACAGGAAATGTTACATGCCTTTAAGGGCAAGTTTTCTTCAAGGCCTCCTGCCCTGGAAGGATCTGTATCTGGTCATGAGTCTGGAAGGTAGGGGGGTAATGCTTTTAATGAAGTCTCTATTTTTAGCAAAGGGAAAACTTTTCAAAGTCGTCATAAGCCATGCCTGAATAAAAATTGCTGGAATTTACAACTCATAACATTCAGAATTGTGCCAGTAGTTAAGTGCTTATTCAGTGTTTGGGGTACTATGAGACCACATAGAAAATAGATTGGAAAAGGGTCATTTCTTGCCATACTGTACTGCCCCTCAGTATGTAATGGGTTTGGATGTTTTCTTTCCGTAGATATGGTCCTGCCCCCAGCCTACCCGCCTCCACCTGTTCCTCATGTCAGAAAAGCTGCCTACTCAGAATCAAGGGCAAATTCCTTTGCTGGCAAATCCAGTGTGCTAGTGCCACCACCACCTCCTAAAAGAAGCTTACCAAACATCAAACTAGAGGATCTCCTAAACACAAGAGAGCCCCAGCTACAGAGCCGAGCTGAACCAAATGTCAAGAGTCAACCTTCAAGCCGGAGACCAAGTGAACAGCTGCCCCCTGTGCCCCCTCTACCTCTTTTCAAAAAGCCTGTGTGTACCAAAGAATCTTACTCCTTGCCTCCAGAGCTTCTGCCTCCAGCTCAAGTTCTTGCTACTCCAGAAGGATGTGAGAAGCTAAAAACCTTAAATCTTTCACCACGAACTCCTCCCCCACTCCCAAACAATAAACCTAAGCTGTCACAGCTTACTGAAAAACCAGCAGAGCCCAAAGTGCCAAGAGAACATGGTAAACCTGGACTGTTTGTGCCACCAGTGCTCCCAAAGCCGCCTGTGCCAAGCCACCAGCCCCCTATCATCAAACCTAGACCAGAGAAGTCTTCCTGTCCCCAGTTACAGTAAGTATGAAAATACAATGCTCTATTAAATGTTCCTATTGTGTATTAACTTGCTGACACACATTTTTCTCAGATTCTTATTGGCATCTGTTTATCTTCCTTGCACCTTCCCTCTCCTCACACTGTTGTTTTTTTGCCTCTATTTGCTATTTGAAGATTTTGCAATGAGTTTAGTTTCTGAAAAAGTTTAGTGTATCTACTATTTCTTTCTAAGCTTTAAAAAAAATACACCAAAATTTTGTAGTTTGCAGGTCTGTCATAAAGACTTAATCCTTTGATTGCAGTAAGAAGCCTTTATGTCAGAACCTCAATGGACTACAGAAACACTTAAGCTTCTGTGGAGATAAAATGAAACACATTTCCTATACTAAGATCAGATAAGGGATGTGGAGCTAGATATAGTGGCGAATCAGATGAAAATAGTTTTGTCCATTGGACCATTCAGTAGCTCTGAAGGACAAGTAATAAACTCTTTAAAGACAGTACAAAGAAGAGACTGATACACTGGAGTGAGTTCGGTAGAAGGCCATCAAGGTGATTGGGGCTGTAGCATGTGTTGTGTGAGTAGAGGCTGAGAGAACTGGAGTCATTCAACCTTTAGGAAAGCTAGTAAGAGATCACTGCTGTCTACAACTATTTAATGGGTGGGTATGAAGAAGACAGAGTAAGACCTCAGAGGTCTGCAGTGATAGGATAAGAGGCAACAGGCAGAAGTCACAACTGAGGAAAGTACAGATAGATATTAAGGAAGAACTTTTCACCCTGCAGATAGTGAAAAACTAGGACAGGTTGCTGCAGAGAGACTGGAAACTCCATCCTTTAAGATACTCAGAACTTGACTGGACACAGCTTTCTGAGCTATGTGCTGTAGTTGGATCTTCCTGAAGGAGATGTCCTTCAGTTTTTGTTCTGTTTCTGCCAGGAGATCACCACCAGATGGACAGAGTTTCAGAAGTTTCTCTTTTGAAAAACCAGCACTACCCTCCAAGCCAAACCCACCCGATGACGATTCTGATGATGAGTATGAAAAAGTAAGATAAAAAAGATTATTCATTCTCAAATAGTATTTTTCTTGCTTGTGGGAGCCTTAAATTATTATTTCAGAAAAAAATATTTCCAAAACCACAGTGCCATGTGATTCTTTTTGTGTTTTATTTTTGTTTCTTTTGCATTTTTTTTTTTTAAATTTAAGGAATGTCTTGGATAAATTCTGGATTTTTAAATTGATGTAAAGGACAAAGAATCCTAAAGTAAAGATTAAATTGCCACTAATAATTTCATATACTGATGGCTGTAGCTTATTTGCATTTTAAGTTGCTAGCCTTTTGAGTTGTCATTGACTTGCACAGTGGTTTATTTTCTTCATTTTTTTTTTTCCTAGGTTGGCCTGCCTGCTTCAATATTTCTTAATACCTCTGAATCCTTCGAAGTTGAAAGGTAAAGTTGACTTTAAAATAGTTGCTTAGAAGCCCTACAAAAACCTGCTCTAAACAGTAGTCCATATATCATTTTGATAGGTACAGTTTGTGTTTAAAAACACAATAGAAATACGTAAATTCCTTGAACTTTAAGGAATGTCTTGATAAATTCTGGATTTTTAAATTGATGTAAAGGACAAAGAATCCTAAAGTAAAGATTAAATTGCCACTAATAATTTCATATACTGATGGCTGTAGCTTATTTGCATTTTAAGTTGCTAGCCTTTTGAGTTGTCATTGACTTGCACAGTGGTTTATTTTCTTCATTTTTTTTTTTCCTAGGTTGGCCTGCCTGCTTCAATATTTCTTAATACCTCTGAATCCTTCGAAGTTGAAAGGTAAAGTTGACTTTAAAATAGTTGCTTAGAAGCCCTACAAAAACCTGCTCTAAACAGTAGTCCATATATCATTTTGATAGGTACAGTTTGTGTTTAAAAACACAATAGAAATACGTAAATTCCTTTAATATGGAAAAAAACTTTTTAGGGGAGTTAGTTCAGTGCTCTTGTATCAATTGAAAATGCATACTACTTGCAAAGTGATTTCTGCTCCCTCTGGAGAAGGTTGGTCTCCTGGGATGCCAGGTGGGACAGAAAGCCAGATCTGTGCTGTGTTGCTGGCTCAGATGCCAGAGCAGTGAAATTCTTTCAGCTGTGACGTATTATGAACTATTACAACTGAAACAGAGATTTGTAGTAATATTTTTAAGAATCTAGGTATTTTACTTACCTGATTCAGAAAATGCTAATATATGTAATTGTTGTATTATTTTTAGGACATTTAAAGCTAGTAGCCCACGGGGACAACCGCAAAATGGACTTTACTGTATTAGGAATTCATCTACTAAGCCTGGAAAGGTAAATTGCAGTTGCTGAATCTATACTCCCCCCACTGAAAAGATTTTTTATTTAGAGATGCTATCTCTGATAAAGTATTTAACAATTCAGACATGCTGTTTCCTGAAAGCAAGAAAATCACAGACAATCAGAATCGTAACTTCAGTGACTTGATTTTTTTAGGCTGGATTGTAACTAATTCCTTAATAATAAATTGACTTAGACCTTATTAGCATAGACTGAATATGTTGCATTTTTCTTCTTCAAGGTGTTGGTTGTATGGGATGAATCTGCAGAAAAAGTGAGAAACTACAGAATCTTTGAAAAGGTTAGTAGCTGCATTATATGGGCATTTGTATATATGTATGAATTACATATGTATATATGTGTGTGTGATGTGTGCATGTGTACAGGTATATATCGGAACAAACAAGTTTACTTTAACTTCTTCCCATTCTTAAAAGCAAAAATAAGCTGATTTACAAATACCTGGTCTCAGATGAGACTTGAGTACTCAGATCTGGGCTTTTTGGTTGCTCTATTATGTAGAAGACAAACTAGCTGTAAATGTTGACATCTAAGTTTCAGCTCCAGTGAAATCCTAAAGGAAGGAAAATTAAAGTTCTGAGTTTAATTTGGACTTATTTGTGTAACTAGTTTGCAAAGCAGTCGTGTGTTTGAAAGATCATCTTAGTTCTGATTTTTTAAAATATTTTTTTTATAACTACTGAGTTGGAAAAATTACTGCCCATGATTACATATGTTTTTGTTCTGCAACAGGATTCCAAGTTTTACCTGGACTCAGACATCATGTTTTTGAACATGGGAAGCTTGGTGGAATACTATAGCACTCACATCTTACCTAGTCATGACAGCCTGATTCTTCGGTGTCCTTATGGTTACTCTAAACCAAGGTGACATAACTGGTGTAATTCACTGATGCCAAGGACAACTGGATTCCCTACTGCCCTTGAATTGAATGTGGGGTACTGCCACTGTTGGACATTCCATTATTTGCACACAGAAACTGACTCTGTTTCAACCATTTCTTCTCACATGAATTGTATACCGATGCAATTCAATGAACTCTTGGTAAAACCTTACAATCCAGATCAGTGGATTTTGTTTTTTTTCTTTTAAAAAGATCAGAACTTAATTTGCTGTGAAAGCTATCCATGATGCCTACACTTCTTAGAAAGCTGCTGCTATTACTAATCTTTTTGTAATGTGGAAGACGGACATGAACAAAGTGGTCTGAATCCAACCAAAACAGAAGAGGAAACTTCTGAAAGTGTACCTGAATTCATCTGTGGCAGGGAATAGTAACACTCTGACTTAAAGGTATTACTCCTTAAGTCAGCACTGGTGCTCAGCTGAGAATTTTTATATTACTTGTATAGTTGATGTGTAAATAATAAAGACTAATGCACAAATAATTTGGTTTACTATAGGTAAAGATGATCAGGCAATGTGGCTTTTTTTTTAAGCCACCTCATATGTAAACATAACTTCTGACTACAGTTTCTGCAGGAATCAATATCAAGGTACTACCCAACTGGTAACAGTTGTGGCACCTCAAGTGTTAGAGAATGATGTGTGCTTCAGATAGGTGTGCCATAATACTGGGTTGACTTTCATGGAAGCCCCATTACTTAGTTCTCACCTGGAAGGGTAAGTGTCTCTAGTATTTTTTATTGGGTATGATAAAAAGGAAGGACTACTTAAGATGAAGTGGGAAGGGAGGGAGTCTTTTGAATACCCTGTATTCTGACTAGCAGTTGTCTCTCACATTGCCATCATCAAAGGTTCTTGAAAACAGAACACACAAAAAACCCTAAAGCCATGAGTGTGAGGCTACTATCACTCCATAAATCTTTGTGGTCAGTCTCTTAGGATCAGGTCAGCCCATTGTATTCTGTTCTGTTCTAGGGCAAAACACACTGCCCTAGTCTATTTTTGTAGTTAAACAAGAATTTTTCTATTATTAAAATATCTACTCAGTTTGTAGTTGCATGGTAAATAAAATCTGATTTTGGCATACTGTCAGCACTATGAGACTGTAAATTATAAACATTAGTAGGGTGCTTTTAATATTTGTTCCCTAATATTTTTAGACAAGTATCCTAAAACCAAGGGCTTAGTATTTATGCCAAAATTACCAGATTCCTGAATTTTAATAAAGAAGGTAAGTTTATTTTAATGACCTCTTAAGTAACTTTGTGCGTTCCAAAGTAATGTTATAATGGTCTCATCTCTAATGTTTACAAGACTTGTAATAATAATTAAAAAAAAAATCCTGTCACTCCTGAAACAGGAAAAGGTACCTGGTTTCTATCAGTCTGAATGTGTATCCATAAGCTTCATTTTTTCAATTACCTTTTCAGAGTTTATACATCAGTTTTAATCTTGTTACAGTTAAATAGTCACAACTTAAAAAACAAAACCAGTAGAGAATAAGAATTTTCTGTTTATGGAAACAGTAAACCTGTATTTGATCCCTAAGGGATTTTTATTAATAAAAAGATGTAACATTAGGACCATGCATAGGAATGGAGGCACAAAACTCTGCTTGTCATTTGCAAGAGACACAGACATGCAAGATATCAGCCTTTTGACCTCTGTTCACGCTGTAATACGTTTTGTGTGTGTAACTAATATGCAGTACTTAAATTTCAGATTCTGTTGAACATTGGGTATTTTAAGGTTTTGTTTCTTTTCATTTTAGATGAGAATCCCTGTGATTCTTTACCCTTATATCCAAGAATCCTAGAATGGCTAGTGTTGGAAGTTACCTGGAAGATACCTCCATGGGCTGGGATGCCTCCCATTAGATCAGGTTGCATCCAGCCTGGCCTTGAACACTTTCAGGGATGGGGCAGCCAGAACTTCCCTGGGAAACTTGTTCCAGTGTCTCACCACCCTCACACTAAATAATTTCTTTCTAATGTATAACCTGAAGCTCCCCTCTTCCAGTTTAAAGCCATTCCCCCTTGTCCTATCACTACATGCAATAAAATGTCTCTCCCCAGCTTTCTTAATAGGACATACTGTGTAAAGAAAGCTCAGCCAACAAAGTGTTTAAAAAATATTTTTGGCAGATGTGTATCAGACACAGTTCTAGTTCTTGCAGTATTTACTGTTTGCAGAGTAAATTTTTCTGTCTGGGAATAATTGGCTTCATTTTGTCATGACAATCATACTTAGAACACATCTTTGCAGCCCAAGTCAGATATTTATTTTTTTTGCAACCATATACTTCTAAGACTTTTAAACTGTAAAAATACTTAGATAATTCAATATATGTGTAACATAACACCATCTTTACCTGTGTAGTACAAGATTTGTGAATATGTAATTTTTTTGTTAATTTACTTTTTTTTCTACAAATGTACATATTTCTGAAGTGGATAAACTTTCAATGCCAGTTCACCTAATTTTGTGCAGTTGTCTTTTACTTCATGGATGTGTGTTTTAATGCTTTTGTTTTCAGTTGTATTAAATAGTGCTTGATTCTTCTAACTAAAGTTAGAAGTATTAGTTTTCGTCCCCTTTAAGAAGCAAAGCTTCCTGTAAGTAACACCATAAGAAATTTGGCATTTTGGTCAACAGACAGTGTGGCTAGGGGGTGGAAAATACCTGTCTTCCATTTACTTCAAAGTTTCCTAAGTGCAGGTTTGAGAAGTGAAGCATTCATTTTATCTATGGACACAAAATGCAAGTATGACCCTAATGAAAAGTGCATCTCAGAGGAACAGGAATGTGTGAACAAGAAAGCCAAGTCTCCAAAGGTGTTCAGAAGCTTGCTTGGGAAAAGAGGACCCTTCCATTTCCCAGCACGTAATAGCATTTCTGGTCAGGAACATCAGTGAAACATGGTAGGTTTACATCTGTAGGTTAGTACAAGTACAGCAGGCTCACAACTTCTTAGATTTACAGCTTTGACATCTCTAGAATTCAAGGTAGGATGCACAGGTAAGGATGTGCTAGGTAATCCCCTCATCTCTCCAGAACAGGTAAAGGGTTTCAAATCTGCAATCACTTCCAAGCCATCTTGCTCCTACATACTATTCTAGTCTTACTAAAAGCAGGATTAGAAGAAGTTAAATTCGTGGTGTTTGTAGGGAGGAAAGGCACAGCTGGAACACATGGTATAGTTTGTCTCCTAGATCTCTCATTAACCTAACTCTCCTCTTCACCACAAACCAGCCTCTTGCATATGCAACCTACTGCAAGCTCCTTGGCTTTAAAATAGTTTGTGGAGAAGTGTAAAAGCAATATTTGATATGCCAAAAAAATGCCGTTTGTCAGATTGGTAATATCCAAGTCAACGTAATTGTTAATAGTTTGGAAGAAGTCTTGCCTCTTCTATCTAAACTTCCAAGTAAACCAATATCCAGACAATTTTTCTGTAGTGAATGCTTTGTGTCAGCAGCTTGTCAAGTATTCCCTAGTTCAGGACTTCAGTTTTTACAGGAATTCAAATAAGCAGTGGGAGTATTCATGACCTCTGGTGCTTTCATGCTTTGGGAAGTTCCAAACAGCTGTAAAGATTTTGGAAGCTTTAACTCTGATTATTTTGCATTTGGGGACATCTGCTGGCCAGCCTGTTCTGTGCAGGGTTTCAAGTGACAGGACTACAGCTGCTAAGCATGTGCTAGGAATCATTTGGGTAGAACTCAATCCTAAATGACAAGCTGAACTTGAAGTGGAAACTGGATGGGCCAGGTCTTTGAAACTTAAGACGTATTTTTGGCTCATGTTTCTCATATAAGCAGCAATGTTATTTAGCAAAATTATTCATTTAAATGTCTTTTAACCTAGATGACAATGAAATTCATTTGCATTTTATATTCTCGCATTTAAATTACTCTTAAAATATACTTTGGGGTAGAATTTACATAATAGACATCTGAGCAAAACCTAAATTATCAGCATTGTGAATTGAGTTGCTTTTAATACTAAATGCCTCACCTAGCAACAAGCCAATGGCAGGATGTTGCAACAGTTCCTATCTTACTAAATAGTCAGCTTCTCGGTGTCAAGGTTTTTTTCCTAGCAATGAGAGTGCTGGAGGTGACCATGAGTACACCCTCTTAAATAGGAGAGCTCATAGTTCTTTTAGTATAAATACTCAACATACCAAAAGGCAAAATACCAAATGCTACTAAAACTTTTAGAGTAGGTAGCATTTAAGCTCACTTCAAAACTGGATGAACCCAAGTGGTTAAGTTCAGTGAGCTTAGGGTAAGTCTTGTAGCATATCCAGTCCCCAAATGATTCCTTTGGGACTTCCTGTATCTTGATTACAAGAGGATCATTACTGTCCCTTACCTATTCGTCCTTCCTTATTTAGTTATCAGGGAAGTGGGTAAGCCAACCTCTCAGATTCATGACATGGCCCTAATGAGTGTATAATCTTATAGCTATCAAGGAATAATTTTAAATGTAATTTTATTTGCACATAACTCTACTGAAGTTGATTTGCACAGAAATTACTGTAATAACTGTTTGCAGAATTAGATCTCTGGACACACAAAACCAGGGAAAAAAATCTAACCCTTCTTTGAGTTACCACTTTTTCTGCTTTTTTATAAAAGTTTCTCTGCATAATCTTGGCACAGTTGGTTCTTCCACTGGGAGGCTGATGTGCACTTAAATTCTGACCTTGAAAGATTTTTGCTAGGACAGAGTTTTGCACCTGTACTGAAGGCCACTGATGTGAAAGGTACACCACAGCCACACAGGGAAAAGAAGAGTCAACTGGATATAAACTTATTAAAAGGTTTTATTGCATAATTAATAAGGCAAGATCTACCAGGTGTGGCCTCACAAACTGTTTTAGGCTTCAGTGACTATGTTGTGGTTTAATTTACTCTGTGCTAACATTCATCTCCATTTATTTTTCCAAGTCAATGCCAGCCACACCTTAACCATGGGAGTAGTGCTGAAAATGTGCCTTTTTAAAATTAAATGTGATTTAAAGGTATTCAGAATTTGATATTCTAATATTGCAAAGTGTCTCCTAAGAATA